TGAATAAATCAGTCCTGGATGCTAGAAGCTTCTTAAAATCCTGTTCTCAAGACTCTCCTACCAGTTAGGTAGTAAAATCATATCTAACACAATTATTAAAGAAACAGATTTTCCATTTATTCTAAAACCAAAACATAATTAGATATTGTAAAATTAAGAATTGGGATAGAGATAAAGTAAAAGCATATATGTCCTGTTGGGATTTGGGGTATTCATATATAAAGAAAATATTCTTAAATGTTTACTGTTTCTTAGTGACCTATTTAGGGTCATGTTAAAAGATACTTATTCCTTGGTTCAGATAGTCAGCCATTCAGTGACAGATTTATTTTGTGTTCCTGCCTTTGTCGCACTGTGCTGGGATATGTTCATGTTCTCCTTCCCCTTTCATTTCTTGTGTTTTTTTGTTTTTTTTGTTTTTTGTTTTTTTCTTTTTCTTTCTTGTTCAGAACCACAGATAGGGTGTCTTCTATAAGAAGTCTATGCCTTGGACTGCTTGTATAGCCTACCTTTAAATAAAATCCTCAATCCTTTACCTGAAATCTTTTGTGAATTCAGAATTTTTATTTTCTAGGAACATAATATGCATATATGGCATATTATGACATACATATTTCAGTCTGGGACAGGGCTCATTAAATAATTTAAAATTTCTGAATATTAAGATCAAGTGGAATAAATAATTTTATGTGGCTTCATGTCAGTTCAGTTTAGGTTTTGCCACCAAATGAGTTTTGAAAAAACCTGATTTTCAGAATTTTTCAGATTTTGCAGATAGAGACTGTAGAGCTATATAATAAAGGTTTGGAAGAATTATGAAATAATTAGTTTAAAGTAATTAGCAAATTCCCTAATAAAGGCACAGTACAGGAGAAAGCACCATAACTCTTCTGACTTGCATTGGATTGTTACTAGCATCATGCTTAAGTGCCTCAACTTTTCCTCTTTGTCCAGCTTCCCATCCCTTCCAAAAATTGAAAAATGTCTGTCTTTCAAGAAATTTTTGCAAGTCAAGTGGTGCTGACTTTTCACCCTCTGTACCACATTCCCGAAGCACAGAGGTATTTAAGTGCTAACTTTTCTTCTTTATAAGAGTCCTTTCCTTGATTCTGCTTGTCTACTAGTGTTCTAGCTTCTTGAATATTCATTAGGCTTCCTCTTTATCAGAATTAAAAAAGAAATTCTTATTCCTTTCTTGCACCTCCTGAAAAAATACTTTTTATGGTTTTGTGTTAGGCAGTTTAAAGTTTATGATAGGCAGCTTTAAATAATATAACTATATTTATTATATATACATTTTTACTGTCACTTAGAAGTTTGAAGAAAATATTTATCAGTAGGCTACCATCATTCTCACATACTGATTTCTGAAAGATTTACAACGTGGTCAGAGTTTGTCTCCTTAGTGCTTTCAGGGCATGATATCTTAAATCATTCTTTTCATCAATTCTATGTGAACTTGAAAAGAATCTTCCTTCCCAGGCCCTTATAATTAGTCTACTGTGATTTTGTTCCTAGGTACAAAATTATTTTAGATTTTATTAGCTTTAGATTTTATCTGTGGAAGTGGCTGAACAGACTGCATTTAAAATGATAGTTTTAAGTTTTATTTCTTGAAAAGCAATGGCAAAGTAGTTATGTGTTCAGTGAACACCTGCTAAATTGCCTGGTTAGTCTGTGTTTTAATTGCCTTTTTATTGTTTATACTTTAAATCAAACTTTCTTAACTAGCTGTGTGGTTCTAGTTTGTTGTCAGATTTTTATACAGTGAATTAAGTTTATACAAGGTGTTTTAGTTGTGTGGTTTGTCTAATGAAATTCAAAGAGATTTTGTTTGTTGCTTCCAACATCTTGCAATTACCTCATCAAGGATCATAATTGGGAGAGTGCAGAAGATGGAGAGGAAAAATGTGTGCCCTCTGTGTGTTGGATTATGATGAGATATTTTGTTACACTGTGAAGGCAGAGTTAGCATGGGGACTACCAACTGTAATCTGGGAAGGATTATAATCATTTCCAGTTATGATATTTGGAAATGCATAACTTGGTAGAACTTAAGAAAAACTTGGGAAAGGAGATGAGATAGTGGCAAAGAAAAGCAGACGTTAGTTTTGCTGTATCTGCCAGGTAATGCAAATCTTGAATGATCCTCTTCTGTTATTGCTGTAATGCCAGAGGTTTCCCCCCCGTTAGTTGGAACTGTGTAATGCACCATGAAAGAGAGAAAGTAAATATCTGGACTACGAGTCATTTTTAAAAGTGATTTGTATTAGGGTTGGGCAGGGGGGAAGTGATGATTAAATGAGAGTCCTTAGCTGTTCTGTTTTGTTTTGTTTTCTTGTTTCTTGCACACTCAGTCCTCTGTTCTCTCTCTTCTTTCCTCCCCGTGTCCATCATGTCTTCTGAAATTGCTGAGACAGAGCTAATTAACTCAAAGCAGTTCACAGCATAGACTGAAGTGATATGGCGTATTTCAAAGCCTTCTGTTCTTCTGAACCAGATTTTTTTTTCCTTCTAAATGCAGATTAATAAAGCGTGCACTACAAGAGGAACAAGGAAAAGGATTTTAGTGAAGGTATCCCGATCCTGAAAAAGTCAGGATCACATACTAATGTGTGTGTCAGAGTCACATACTAATTAGGACTCATACTAATTAGCTACTAAAATGAAACAAAACAGAACCTAGTTCACAGCTTATTATAAAAAGTGATTTAATATTATATAAAACTAAATGTATGGTTAAAATTATTATTTGCTTTAAATGTGAATCTTTTTCCCCTATGGGACATGGGAAGGAATCTGTGTTCTGGATGCTTATTACCTAATTTATTGGTTGGGCACATGTTACATTTTATTATCAGAGCCCTTATGACTAGACCTGTGTAGTAGAGCATCCAACAAACCTGCCAGTAGGAATTCTAGGCTCAGTACCTGGATGTGCCTCAGGGCTTCTGCAGAATCAGGATACTGGCCCGAGTCTTCAGACCATATTATCTCTAAGCCTCTGGGGACATGGGGTTAAGCAGTAAATCACTCATTTCTGGGATGCTGGCTTAAACATCTTTGGTGCTGAGGATAGGTGATCCTCAACTGTTTTTCTTCTCCACGTTGCACATTAGGAATATAGTATTGTCTTGCTGGTAACAATGAATCCTGGCAGTTGTGATTCTCCAGGTGTGTTTGTGATGGGACAAGTCAGGTGACACGTAAGCTCTGGTAGAGGGCAGTAGGAGGGCACCAATAGGTTGGCAGATCCTTCAGGTAAGTCTGTTAGCATTGCCCTCACTATTCTTTAGAATTGCTTCTGTGGATAAAATAGGGTTTTACCCAGTATGTCAAGACTTCAGTGTCCTTTGTAAATACGTTTTTGACTACACAGCTTCAGCCACTCTTCTCTCGCACATCTATGGAATCTCGGTGAACATAAGTGGTGTAAGCTAGGTTGTGTGATCCTGTTGCATACTATAAGCCATTAGGAATTAGAGACATTTTTATTGCTGTGTTGTCGCTTTTGGTATCTCAGAATACTATTTCTATCATAAGAGCTTCTCCCGATAAACCCTTTATAAGTCAAACATTTTATAGATTTTATGCTACATGCTCGCTCTTTTCTTTTGTGTTTTCCTGTTGTCCTTCACTTTAGTTTTGACCACTGCAAGTATTAGTTTTACTTCTTATGCGATTTGCAATGCAATTGAAATACACAGAACACACGTAGAATAAAAGAGCACGACTACGCTTTCTAATGCACTAAATACACAATACTAGCTGGTGTCTGCCATCTTTGATGTAGCTGCTATGGGTCAGGGGGAGATGGGGTTGCTATTTGACTATTCAGTTCTGTGGTCCTGCAGTTACAAAATTGTATAGGAAACCAAAATATTTCAATCAAGAAAATATTCACTAATGAATCAGTGAGTTATATTATTCAAACATCCTCTTCGAAATATCTTTTGATTTATTTGAAGATAATCTGATTCAAATTGATCATAAAGTAAAATCATAAATCTTTCAAAGACTCTGTTTCATGAAGTCTGTGATATGATGGTCTAGAACATTTCTGCTCACAGGCAAAGCCATGAAACAGTGAGGATCTCCAACTAAGAATTCTTTGAATATCAAAGAAATTAAGAAGAGGACTTTAGGAAAAATGATGAAGTCCTTGAATATTTTTTACAAATGTAGTTATGTTTAAAACCATCCTATAAAAATTAAATGCGTGAAGGTGTCATAATGTGCTAATATAAAATATTGTTGGAAAAAGTCTGCCAGAAACTCCAGTTCATTCATTTTTTTGCTCATTCTAAGAATTGCATGTAGTTTTAAATAATTGTCTAAACTTATTTTAATAGTGTGTGTTGTCCTTTTTCTAGCTAGGCCAAGTCAAATCTTTTTTAGCACTATTTGTATAAAATTTTAACACCCTTTTTAAGTGGAGCTACTTGAAATGATCTTTTTTCCAGAACCAACTCTCTTGGGGAATAAGGATCCCATGTATATAAAATAAATGTGTGATTCTTCATGGATAGCCATACATTTTTGTTGTCTTTTAGTGGTCTAAAATGAATGTCAGGATTTTAATTGAAATTAATTGTGGCTAAAGTACAAATAGGCAATGTATGTGTTTTCTTACTCAGCGAGCTTAGGCAGGGATCAGGAGATTAGTTGGATCAAGCTGATTATTTTAGAAAGGCTAATAAAACCATGTGTTATATAGGTCATTTTCTGGGCCATGGAAATAACTTTATTATAGTTCTATTAATGTCTTCCATTTGTATAACATTTTATTCTTAGAAAGTGAATCATTATTTCATTACCCTTTGTAGTGTGTGTTATTTGTGATGAAATTGCGTGTTCTCCAAAAATTTTACCAGAATGTGTTCCTTATAAGTCCTCTCCGTGTGTTGACTCTATGTCTACAAGCTGAGTCTTTACACATAGTGTAAAAGAAGTAGAAATACTGCTTTAAGACCCGAGTAGTGAAGCAGCTGTTTTTGCAGGTATCTTGTGGTCTGTAATCCTTCAGAACAAGACCGAATCTCAGTGGTCTCAGTCTATGTGAGTTCCCCCACAGCACAAGTGTCTTCTGCTTCCGGAAAGCCTGTGGAAATTCAGATGAGTGCAGTTTGGAATACAGCAACTACTATTTCACAGACAGCCTATGAGGTACGTTTTCGCCATAGAACTTAAAGAGGCACCATTAAAAAAGCATAGCCAGTATGTAGTTTATATATGTATCCATGCTCCCTTTGAGTCATCACATTGGTGTATGTGAAGTGGTTAAAGTTGTGGATACCAGGGGATTTAACTGACCAGTTAAATGACACTAAAGGAAAAGAGATCCTGTGTTTCCTAGAATACTAATATCTTCTTTAGTGTGTATATCACATGTTATTATTAGTATGTTATTAGCATGCATATTGTATATCTTTGTAAGTATTGGAACTTTTTCCTGAAGTAATGAAGTCATCATTACCTAAAAAATTTTGAAATTCTTTGTTTAACTCAATTCAGTAACAATTATGCACACTGAAGTTGAGATAAATAACACCTTTTCTAAATAACTTAGGTCCTTTCAGCGTTTCATTGCAAAGGTGACGTGACACACCATAAAAGAAGGACTTCCTAAAATAGAGGAAGGTGCTTTTTACCTGAGATACAACTGTGGAAAGCCTGGCCTGAAGTAATAGACATTTTTGGAGAAAATTTCTTAAAGTAATATTAAACTGGACCCCCGCATCACTAGAAAAGTTGAATTCTTGGAGTCTCGAGTGCAAATTAAACTGTACTTCTGAAGACGCAGCCAAAAGCTAGGAACTCTAAATGAGAATTACTTTGCTTGTTAAAAGCCATTGCTGGCTGCTTTCATAAATCCATAATCCTTTAGTTAGAAAGGAGAAGATAATAGAAGTTTTGGTCAGATGTTACAGGAAACAGCCTATCTAGAAAAGGGAGGAATAGCTCCTAGAAGGCAGAGGTCACGACTTACAGTGTGTGTGCGTCCTCTGTGCTTTGTGTATTGTCTGCTGGACCCCAGGCATTCGATGGCCACTGTTAGCCTGCCTAATATTTATAGTATTACATTTACCACTTTTATTTTTAATGTACTTGAAACCATAGTATAAAAAGGGTCCTGATAATTAGGAAAAATCGTTGTTCACCTAAAGCTCCTACCTTCATGAAGCATTTTCTCCTCTGAGCATCCATTAAGAGCACCATAGGACAATTGAGGTTGCTCGTATAATTTCATATATTGAATGAAAGCATTCATGCCTTTGATAGTCCTACCAACCTGAAGTTATTAGATTCCCTGGATAAACGGAAATGTGGATACTCTACCCATAAATTCTCAAAACATCTTTAAAGTAGAGTATTAAATTCTTTTTAAAATACGGTAGTTTTTTTGTTGTTGCTCTTACTAGATGTATAAATCCTTTTCTTTCAGTAGATTGCATTTCTCTTTAAAAAAATTCTCTCCTCTGTCTTTTAAAGATCTCCTTCCTAGTGCAGATGCCACCACTCGGACTGAAAGTGTATAGAATTTTGGAATCAGCAAGTTCAGACCCACATTTAGCTGAGTATGTGCTGCATAATGGTAACGTAAAAGATAAAGGAATTTTCAACATGAAGAATGTAAAAAGTACTGAAGAAGATATAACTCTAGAGAACTCCTTTGTTAAACTTCGGTTTGATCAGTCTGGGCTTTTGGAGGTATGTTCTGAATAGTCTCCAAATTCATGGAAGGCTTATCACTTTTATTACAATATGTGCAGATTATGTATGCAGAGGGGGGAAAGTCGATGCAAATACTCTGGGAGAAAGGATGGATGAGCTATATGTATCTGATATATGTGGTCCACTGTGACCACTTGGTCCTAACAAGGGTGGTCTGTGGGTGGTGCTGCTCCGTGAACTGTTACTGGTCCACAAGATAAGTATAGAAGCTGTAATGGTTGAGAAAAATGTTTGTGGAAACTCTGAAAGCACAATGACACAATAAATTTATGCCTACTGAATCTAATAATAAAAAATTTGAGTGTATATTTGGTATATCACTTTAAATTTAATTTTTCTAGTAATTCACTCTTATTGTACTTCACAAAAATATTGGTCCATGCATACTGGAAATAAAAAAAAATAAACCTGCTTCTTCAGTACAGAAAGTTTGAGAAGCACTGGTCCACATCTCTTAATTTGTGTATCTCTTTCTTCCTTAATGAAGTGTGTTCTTTTTGTTTCTATTGTGAAAGTTTTAAATTCTAAGTATTAGCTATAAAAGTATACTTTTAAATATAAGATTTTGGGTGTTCATCCAAGAATCGTGAACATTAGAGGCTGAATGTTAGCATTTTTCTGTCTGTCTTGAGGTTTTTTGGTGTTTTTTTTTTTTAATCAACATATACATGGAACCAGATGCAACATCATTAAAATCTTAATATAGTAAGTTGCTTTTAAACATTGTTTTTATCCTTAGGAAATGATAAGTAAAGAAGACAGTAAACATCATGAAGTAAAAGTGCAATTTTCATGGTATGGAACCACCAGTAAAAAGGACAAAAGTGGTGCCTACCTCTTCTTACCTGATGGGGAAGCCAAGGTAAGTGCCAATGAACTGAGCTGTGAATAAGCATTTATTGAAAGAGTAATGAAGAAAAAAATAAGTTCATCTCATTATTTTGTCATCTGTTAGGTATAGATGAGTTGGTTCCACTATTATATTTCCTTATTGACACTTGGCAATCGGTAGTCGTGAGTGTTAGGTAAACAAATAATTTTTCAGGGTTGGAATTCATTAAGGTGCTACAATGAACAGTTGCTCTCCATGGAAAGAAGCCAGATTTGTTGGAGGGTTCAGGTGCTGTTGTGGTGTTCTGTGTGGCACAGCACATATACAGAGACAAATTATCTAGCCATAGGAGAAAAATAAATTGTCCAGTGGGCCATTTTTCTCCTTAACTTTCAGCACTTTAAAAAACAAAAAAAATTTTCCCTCCCCTTGACTGTAAAGGTGTAATAATATATACAAATTTTGGCACATTTTTGAAAATGCAGAAAACTGAAGAAAACAATAAAATTTACCAACTATTCCAAAGGCCATGCAAACCACTGCCAACATTTTGATGTATTTTTTATTGTCTTACTATGCATATCCCTTTCTCCCCCATTTTCACTGTTGTGACAGTGCTCACAATCAAATGGTATATTCTTCGAAAACACATTTTTAATATATACTGTTGTGATTAAAGGTCTGAGGGTCCAATGTCTAACATGGTGACTGTAGTTGATAACACCGTATTATATGATATGCTGAGAGAGTAGAACTTAAATGTTTTCACACACACAAAAATGTATATATATGTAAAAAAAAAAAAAGAATTTCCTATTGTTGCATATGTAGATTTTCTCCCAATACTTCACTACTGTAACATTGTGATAAGCTTCCTTTGTAGCATTCTTTTTATGCAGTGATGATTATTTCCTGAGAATAACTTTCTAGAAGAGTTATTTTGTGTCAGTGGATGAGGCCTTTAAGACTTGATACAGGGGCGCCTGGGTGGCTCAGATGGTTAAGCGACTGCCTTTGGCTCAGGTCATGATCCTGGAGTCCCGGGATCGAGTTCCGCATCAGGCTCCCTGCTCGGCGGGGAGTCTGCTTCTCCCTCTGACCCTCCTCCCTCTCCTGCTCTCTGTCTCTCATTCTCTCTCTCTCAAATAAATAAATAAAATCTTTAAAAAAAAAGACTTGATACATACTGGGGCGCCTGGGTGGCTCAGTTGTTAAGCATCTGCCTTCGGCTCAGGTCCTGGTCCCAGGGTCCTGGGATGGAGCCCCGCATCAGGCTCCCTGCTCTGCGGGGAGCCTGCTTCTCCCTCTCCCACTCCCCCTGCTTGTGTTCCCTCTCTAGCTGTGTTTCTCTCTGTCAAATAAATAAAACCTTTAAAAAAAAAAAAAAGACTTGATACATACTATTTCTCTGTCCTCTAAAGTGACTGCATAAATATTCGCTCCCACCAGCATTTTTGAGAGTAGCTCTCTAATATACCACTCCAAGCACTGAGAATCAGTCATATCAAAAGCTTTACCTATAATAATGGGTGAAAAATATTTTACTGTTAAGTTTTTGTGATTATTAGGGAAGCTAAACTTCATACATTTATTTCTCTCTCCTATATCTTTTGTGAGTTTCATATATAAGTTCTTTGACCATTTTTCTACTGGTATGACTTATGGATCTATAAGCATTCTTTATATATGGTAAAAATTAATCCTTTTTCCTATATACTGCAAAATGTTCCATCAGTGTGTCATTTAATTTAATTATGTTATGCTGTTATAGTATTTTTTTTTTAATTTTTGTGTAGTCAGTTCTGTATTTTTTTCTTTAGAACATCTTCCTTTGCTTTTCTACTTATATAGGTTTTCTCTATTTCAAGATAAGTTAAATATTCTCCATATTTTGTTGCCTAGAAACCTATCTCCTGCAGAAGTTACTGTTGTTCTTCAATTTCGAAAAACCTGTTAACCGAAATCAAATAATAGATTTTATTTTATTTTATTTTTTTAAAGATTTTATTTATTTATTTGACAGAGAGAGACACAGAGAGAGAAGGAACACAAGCAGCAGGGGTGGGAGAGGGAGAAGCAGGCTTCTCACTGAGCAGGGAGCCCGATGCGGGGCTCGATCCCAGCACCCCGGGACCATGACCTGAGCTGAAGGCAGACGCTTAACGACTGAGCCACCCAGGCGCCCCAAATAATAGATTTTAAAGAATAGCATTGACCGTTCTAAGGAGTCTAGTTTTTTGTTGTTTCGATTTTTTTTTAATCAGTGAGGAATTAAAGGTAAACTACAGCTCATAGTAGCCGTTCTAGGAAGGGTAGTGGATCCTAAGTATAAGCTGTATCAGTCTGTTCTCACTTGGACAAGAATTTGGGTTTTGGTTTTTTTTTTTTTTTAAGATTTTTATTTATTTATTTGAGAGAGAGAGTCAGAGAGAGGGCACAAGCAAGGGGAGCAGCAGAGGGAGACGGAGAAGCAGGCTCCCTGCTCAGCAGGGAGACCGACGTGGGGCTTGATTCCAGGAACCTGGGATCATAACCCCAGCCAAAGGCAGACGCTTAACCGACTGAGTCACCCAGGCACCCCAGGAATTTGGTTTTGATTGACTGTTCTTATACCAAAGAAAAAATGAAAAATAACAATACTTCTGGAATATTATGCATGGACAATTGTGACTAATTTATTTAAAATTATTCTATCTTTAAATAGCTCTAATATTAAATTAAAAAACCAAGAGAATTATCATATATTTACAAAGAGAAAATAAAAGACTATCAGGGAGGCAGGTGGGTGCATCAGAAACAGGTAGGAGCCCAGAAATCCCCATGCCAGCTTTCATCTTCTTCCCTTACTTTTTAGCTATATGGTAAAATTAGGTCCAAGAACTCTGTAAACTCTTAATGCATTATATTAATTTCAGAATATTTTTTCTAGAACCAGAGAGGTACATTTGGAAGAAAATTTCACAGTTCTGAAAATCTGATGCTACTTAAGTAGTTCGCAATGCAAGCCTAGCTCGTCATGCCATTGTTGAGCTTCTGCAGCCTGTAATGCTTAAGAAAATATAATTCCTTCAAAAAAAAAGAAAATATAATTCTTCATAAATGCTTTCAATGTGTTCCTATGTCACAGAAGTATGTTCTGTTCCTGATTTTTCTTGACAACTAGAATCGAAATGACGAAACCTTAAACCAGTGGTTGCCATAGTTTTTTCAAGTTTGTAAATTTGCTTTATATTCAGCTAGTTCTTTCTAGTAAAAGGGCAGTGTGTTTTATAGACTAGTAAACCTAAGTGTGATTAAGCAATTCTCTGAATCCTGCTTTCTGTTTGCTTAGATGACTCCCTGTGGTCATCCTTGCCACCTGCCCGACCCCTGAACATTAGGGGGCCACGGTTATAATAAACGTTTGCCTGGGAAAATGTCACTGCTGTAGAATGAATGGTATTTCTAATAAATAGCACATGGACAATATAGAAGGGTTTTAATTAGAAATTTTTATAGCTGGGAGGGAATGTTTATAGATCACCTAGGCCAGTCAAGTTGTAAACATTTTTATTTTCTATTTTCAGCACTTTTTGTCTAATGAAAAACCTTATACCCCATTTTTATAGCATGCACCTGTTCTGATACCTTGTAAGGTTTTGTTTTCACTTGAGATTGCAAATATCAGGTGGTATGTATTTGCCATTTGGGAAATGATAATAAACATCCCTTGGAAAAGTTAAAAGCTGAATTTTTTTCTTAAAAATGTCATTTCCTCCTCAGCCTTATGTTTACACAACACTGCCCTTTGTCAGAGTGCAACGTGGAAGGTTTTACTCAGACGTGACTTGCTTTTTGGAACATGTTACCCATGGGGTCCGACTGTACAACATCCAAGGTAAGAAAACAAAGCAATAGCTGTGAAACATGTACTCTGGTTCTGGAATTCTTTGTGTGTCATTTTTAATAAACTAGCAATTGGTTTTTTGTGTTTTTTTTGTTGTTGTTGTTATGTTATGTTAATCACCATACATTACATCACTAGTTTTAGATGAAGTGTTCCATGATTCGTTGTTTGTGCATAACACCCAGTGCTCCATGCAGTACGTGCCCTCTTTAATACCCATCACCAGGCTCACTCATCCCCCCACCCCCTCCCCTCTAGAACCCTCAGTTTGTTTCTCAGAGTCCATTGCCTCTCATGGAACAATTGGTTTTTGAACATGGTATTTATGGTGGTCTTTCCTAAACTTGTCATTATACTCACTGTGTGGTTTAAAAATATACTTAGCCTTTTGATAATCAGAAATGGTAAAACATTTAACTCTACATATGTATGTTCTTTCCCTATATATATCTCCTCTTACGTCTCATAATATTTGTCTTGGTCATGAGTTCATTAATTGGAATCTTTATTTCTAAGATCTAAAAACAGTGGGGTTTTTTGTTGTTGTTTTAATTTTACAAAATGGGAATTCTGTCAGTTACGGCTCTCAGTTAGTAGATCATTGACCGTCTCTGACATGCACACACACCCCCCACGTATGGCCTGCCTTAAATATGGAATGTATTACAATAGCAGGTGTTACTGGAATTTAACTTTCTTTTAAGAAAAACGTTCGTTACTAGTTCTTTCTGTTTACAAGTCTTTACCTGGGAGAGTATAAAATCGGGCGATTGTTTATTGCTTTTAGGATGGGACTGATGAGCAGCATCTTTATCAACCAAGTGACAGTAAATAGGCTTTTAATCCTCTTAGGGACTTAACCATGGGCAGTGGTTCTTGTCCTTCCTTAGGATTTGGATGGAGCCGTGGCTCCCAGACACCCTCAGAGTTGCACATTTATGTTGGTTCATGTTGAATTCACTTTTTTTTAGAATGGAGTACTTTTCCAACCACAAATTTAATCCTAGTAACCAGACCACTTAACCATGGTATCAACTCTCTTAGAAAAGGACCTCATAAAAATGCCACTTTAGATTCTTCTTTGCTGTTAGCTAGGCTGAAAAAGTTAGAAAAGGAAATATTGTTTCCTTGAATCTTTATACCAGTAGATAATAAAGCGTTTGAAAACTAATGATAAAATATATGGGCAGGCGCTGTTTGCTTTTTGGGTTTTGTGGGGAAGCAAAGGGTACTGTGTTCAGGGAATGTTCACTTTGCTACCTACAAGAAAGTCTGAAATAATCTTTTATTGAGTTTTATTGAGTTTTCTAAAATCTCTGGTAAGCCAGAAACAATATTTTTGACCATCCTTTTCTACTCTTGCATAAGCCATTGTTCAACATCTCTGAGAGCTCTAAAATTATACCTTCAGCTACGGCCAGAGGTTTCATTTTATGGGTAGAAAGTAGCATCCCCATCACACAGGAGATGTGCTTATCTGCTTTTAGATTTGCTTAAAAAACTGTTGCTTGTAATGGAATGTTTCTTCCTTGAGTACAGCATGGCCCCCACTTTGGCCCAGGCCTGTGTCATCAAGCATGGTTTACTGTTGTTTTTCCTTAGGTCTACTTAGGAGGTAGGCTGTGTGACAGAGTTAATGCTGAAGCAGCTCGCCAGAGAATTCCTACTTCTCAGTCAAGTCCGTTTGCTTAATTGCTTTTCTTTTTGTTTAAATGAGTCTGTCACCATCATTGCAGCCTCAGAGTTTTCGCAGGTTGTCCAGGGGATCTGGAGCTCATCACAGAGGATGGTTTCCGTAAATTAGAGGGCCCTCTTCTGCTGCTGTGACTATAAGCTTAGTTTGCCGTCATAGCCCAGTGGTTGATTTGGAAATTAATAGGCTCTGACTTGCCTGTGTACTCAACCCAACAAACATGCATTTACCAGGCCCTAAAAGCTTTTCTTTTCTCCTCTTTCCTTCTCCCCAGCTAAGCAGTCCAAAATGCCCAATGGCTGACTAGTAGCCCCTTTGCAGAACCAGGAACCACCAAGATTTAACTGCCTCCCAGCCCTCCAAGGTGACAATGCCAGTGGATTGGTCAGTTAAGAAAGAGAAGTTGTTCTCAACTGGACGCTTAGAGTATTAGCATAACAAAAATAATAATAATAAAATAAGAATACAGACCTCGAATTGCCTCTGGATGTCACAATGGGTGGAATAAACAGGGTGAAGCATTTGGATGAGATTTCTGTAGCTTGAAAGCAGAAAGCTTCATTAGTTGGTGAGAAACGACAGATAAATAAGTTAGGTATAACGTGAAGTTAACTTAGAGTGCTTCTCCAGATGCGTTTTACTGTTCTTGGCTTGGATTGAACCTGAAACCAGCGTGTATAACCATTCGAAGTGACATAGCAATCTTTATTTTTGCTCTCTCAAGCCCAGAGTGTTTATATTTTTTGTTTTTTTCCAACATGAAAGCAATCGGTGGGAGATGGAGATACCAGTTCACCTGAAAGGCTTTCATTCAAACTATACATCCTTCTATGTTTGTATCTGAGCCCTTCTCAACAAATCTCCCTCTTGGAAAAAATAAGCCCCGTTGTGGAGAGAGAGCCTCTTCTCAGTCGCCTTCCTGACCTCCCTCCATCTTTCGTTTTCTTTCACATACCGGTGCATGAAGGCTCAGGTTGTCTGGATCCTGGCTCATTGGGGTTTTAATTAAATCACTGGTCGAAACCTAAGGAAGAGATGTGAGGTCTTCAGGGTGTTTGGATGTCGACGAGTTCAAAGTGCCTGAATGGGGTCTGGTTATGCTGCACCAAAGCAGCCATACTGTGAAATACTTGAAAGCTCTTCGGTGTTTTAAACTTCGGCCTCATGTAAACCAGGTATCTGGGCGATTGATCAAAATCCATGGACAGGATGTAGCTTTTCGTCTTAGGTGTAGAGAAAACATCAGCCAACTTCCATGCTTTTGTCGAGTGGCTTGTGTTTAATATTTCTTGAAAGAACGTAAATACCTACTTTCAAATTTAACTTTCTAAATTGTCTTTGGATGTATGCTAATTGTGCCCCCTTTAAATCAACTGACCAGATGCAGTTATTCGGATGAGTATTAATGAATAGAGCCTGTTTGTTGCTAGTACCAAATTTATGAGCCAGAAAAAAATGGGGCTTGAGGGAGAGAAACTATTAATATTTTATGATTAGGTACTATAATGGTATTAGGTTACTAAACCATTAATTATACAAAAGATTTTATTACCTCTCAGCAACAAGGATAAAGAAACAGAAAGAGTTGATATTATGGAATATCTGTCTTTATTGAGAGTCTATATTAAATGTTTCAAATTCAGTTTACTTGAAATATTCTTTTAAAAAAACTAAAGTAATACAAACCTGATAAAGTATTCTTAAATTCCTCAGTCTCTATTTTAGTTACTCTTTGACCGTTTTCTCCCCCAAAGTAACCTTTGGCTCCAATTAAGCTTTGGGAGAGAAAACAAAAGCAAGAACAGAAATCAAACAGCACTTCCCAGATTATAAAAACTGTGTGGTCATCATTGATTTTGCAACAAACTGAGTTGGGAGGCGTAGGTTCAACCAACTTTGTTTTTTTGTTTTTTGTTTTTTTCTTGGTGTTTTATATTTAAGTTTTAGTGTCTATTTGTGTTCTCTCCAGATTCTGAAAATGGTCAGAGGTGCAGTTTAGAGTCCTCTCTTAACATCATTTAAGCTATTAAAAAACACTCTTGTGTTTCTTTTCATTATTGTTCAAACATTACATTCAAAACGTTTCTAGAAATATTAAATTAGAGGAAATCTTGTGCTCACTAGCTTTAAAAGCTCTACAAGATCAGAGGGATTTGAAAGAGTTCTAATGCAACACAATGTATCGCCTTCTATCAGGTTAAATAAGAAATCCATTTTGAGGCACCCATAATTTAATGAAATGCCCTTTTGGAACTATTTTTTTTTAATTTTTCAAAGATTATATTTAGTTTGTAGAAAATAACATTTTTCTGGAGGAAAAGATGGGAGAAATGAGGATTAATTTTTCTTGCACTATAATCATCTTTCATTAAATTGAAGCTTTTTGTGTCACTAAGGCTACTTTAGCTTTTTTTTTGTTAATCTTGATTTGGAAGATAGAATGTGATACAGGCAGAAGCCCCTGTATCCCCTTACGTTATATTTGTTTCATCACAACAAGTGCATACCTTGCAGTGACATCATGATCAGTAAGTGACATTTGCTAGCTGTGGCTTCATTTGTCTTTGGAGTTGTAATTATTAGACTTTGGTGCCCTAGTTTTTTGACATCAACAGCTACTTTGAAGAATGAGGTTGCTATGGGTTACCAGTGTGTCCTGTACATTTTCACTAGCACAAGGTTCAGGTTCCAGATCGGTTAAAATATATACCTTCAAGCTTCCCCCCGCCTCTCCGCCCCAGGACTACGTTCTCCTAGGCGGGTGTTTGTGAATGAATGAGTATGTGTGTAAACCATGTTTCAACCCTTAAGAGAAATATCTAAATGCAATACTTTTGCCTATTTTCCACCAACATACTATGAAAGTACTATATGTAATGGATCTTGCTAAAAGAAAGCAAGTAGCCTGGAGGTAAAATGTAATGAACTGCCATCAAAAAGTATGGAAGAAAAGACTTTCCTTTGGCTGCAATGACTGAGTAATTTCCTTGCATGGGCACATTTAGCATTCAAAAAGAGGTCGCTTAGTTTTTCTCTGTTTTGAATATGTAATGTGATTGGATTCATAACATGACCCTTGACTTTTAGAAAGTCAAAATGAACTCCATCTAGTTAAACACATAAGAGAATCACACTGGGAATTAGAGGTCTGAATCCTCAGTTGTGCCTTAAAGCCAACCAGTGACCTTGAGTTTGTCCTTAGATTTCTTACGGACTCAGTTTCTTAAACTGTAGAAAGACTAGATAGATGGCCAATTAGGTATAACCATTAAAGAGTCTTCACAAAACTTAGTATTAC